TTATGTGTTTTTATTGAATTTGGGCTGAAATTTAATCTTAATAATGTAAGTGAGAGATAATAACACAGCAATTTGTAGCATTATGAACACAAACATTATATGAAATGGGCTTCAGCTAAAAAGAAAAATGACAAAAATTCGAAAATTACAAATTTCTCACATTTTGTGATTATTTAATGATAATTATGCACACATAATTAAGAAAAACTGAAATAAAACGTAAAATTAAATATTAATATGAAAATAATAATAGTATTGTCTATAATATAATAATATATACACTAAATAAACACACACATTTTAAAAATACTAATAACAAGTTGTTAATAATAATAATAATTATTATTATTATATTAAATGACTAAATGCTACACAGTATATATATATATATATATATACACACACACACACACACACACACACACACACACACATACATACATACACCTTTTAATAGTAATATTAATAACAACAACTATTATTACTATTATTTGTTTATTTTTTTCATTTGTAATATTTTTATTTCTGTGTTTTATTGATTTTAGGCTGAATTTTATTCACATTAATGTAAGTTTTAAAGTGAAAGTTGTGCATAATGTGTAGTATTATGAACACAAGCTTTACATACAAGCTTCAACTAATCCATTTCATCTAAAATGGAAAAAAAAGCACAACAACTTAATGTAAGGTCAAAAAAAAAAAGTATTTATTTGGACTTAAGAATGGTTCACATCCAAACAGTGGGATGGTGTAGGATAACATCACAGGGGGGTAAATCCAACCATTCAAACACTCATTTGAGAACAGCATCACTAGACAAAAAGTGTTTAGAGGAGGAAAAAAACCCAAACAACAGTTTTCACAACCCACTACTACAGACAGATGGCACTTTTGTCCTGTGGAACACTGTGTCCAGAGAAGGAGAAAGCCTATATTTTCTGTTAGCATACAATAAACACCCACTGTGGCATACGTACAATACACGCCCAATGTAGCATACATTCCCAAAACATACTTCCAGTAACATCACATACAGTCTATTAAGTACAAGGATGCACCAAGTGCCTTAGTAATCGTGCAAGTACCATACAACATCCTATTATCAGACCAACACGGCCTTAAATACTGCAATGCATTAGCTTGGGTAGAAGATTTAACTTAACAGCAAAAGTATACGCTTTTCACAGCACAGCCTTGAGTTCACTGGCAGAGGAGAGATAGACAGAGATGAGTGACACAACCATGACTATTTTAGTATGTTACGGATGGCAGTTTTTGTAAACTTGATATCATTTATTATCAAACATCGGCTCGTTACATAAGCGCTACTATACAGTATGTACTAGATGAGCTGTACAACAGATATATGAGAACGTAATGCGCTGACTTTCCCGAGCAGAAGTCTGATACTCAAGTATTCAAATGCATGAAACTCAAAATGACACTCAAAGGCATGATTACAGCATGAGTATGGTTGTGGGTTTCTCAACGTACACTGATTTACGTGATCCTTTGAGTTAAAGAATGACACTAAGACAAGATAAGCATTAGAACATATGAGAAATAGTGAGAAATGTGGTTACATTTGTAACAAACAGCTTCATGTCTGCCAACTGTTTTTATTTTCTCTTGCCTATTCTATACCAGCACTGACCAACAGAGGGAGGTTGTGAGCAGGGACAGGCCATTTAAGGCCACCAGAGGGCAGTATTTGTCTTAGCCCTTATGTTAATGGTAATGCAAGGGCTCTCACACTTTTATTAATACGTTTCCATGACCTTTTTGTCAGTTATGATTACTAGATGAGAATTTATCTTGGTATATTTGAGGATTATTATTATTATTAATAACAATAAAAAAAATTACATTTTTAATTACATTTTAATTTACATCTTTATTTGGAGCCAATTAATTGTTTTCAATGAGAATAACGAAAAACTCATACCTGTATTTACTAACGGACGATACTTTATATTATTTTTAAATGACTTTAGAGGCCTGGAAATATCAGAGAATTATAAAATTGAGATGTCCATTGTCCAGGCCTCAAAAGTCATTAAAAAAATCGTCAGTTTCTATAGTAAATACAGGTATGAGTTTTCCTGTTATTCTGTAACAATTAACAATGCATTTTCTATAAACTTGGGAACGCTTTATTGCAAATCACAGAAGAATGAACCAAAACAGTCTGTTTTATACACTGAATTAGGAATTATGTATTGCAGTATTCTACGTAATTTCTTTATTGTAAATAAATTTAAGCCCTCATCCATCCAGGTGTAATTATGTAAAGGTGTAAATTTTCTAATAGAATTTTATTGCTAGCCAATTAATTACTTTCAAGATGAGAATAACTAGAAAAAAAATCATACCGTACCTTTATTCACTATAGAAATTGCCATTATTTTAATGGCTTTGGACGCCCGGAAATCTCAATTTTCTACTACCATGGAAACGCTTTACTTCAAATCGCAGAAAAAAATGGCCCAAAACAGTCTGTTTTATACATTGAATTATGACTGCTATATTATGCATGTTCTTTACTGTAAACAGAATTAAACCCTCATCCATCCAGATGTAATTATGCAGAAGTGTCATGGCTGAATTCAAATGAACGTCCAGAAATAGATATGTGCCCTAGTAATAGTGAATAATAGTCTTTATGCATATGATAAAATGATGCCTATGTGGAAGTGGTACGGTAAGAGAAATTATAAACAAAATTAGAATCACTTCCTGAGATGAGTTGAATCCTCACAGCTACAGACCTAGTTTCAAATCGCTCCCTTGTGGCTAAAGGCTAACGTATTTTAGGACATTGTGCGTTGTATCTAGGGAAAGGCACCACTATCAGTCTTTGAACAGTGTTGCTTGGTAAAGAGAAGCACGTGCAAGTCAGTCTCCCTCACATGCGGACAACAGGCCCATGCTACCACAAAGCTGAGGAATTCGGACAGAAGCTGATTACCAGTCATTTCCAAGTAATTCAAGATGGCAGCAACAGTACACGGAGTCTCAGAAGAGATTTTCCTTTTTTTTTTACGCCCCAAATGCAAGTGTAAATCAGCATGGCACCAACGAGAAACGTAAAACTAACGGAGACAGATGATGTAACAGCTCAAGCATGACATCAAACGCAAATCTAGAGATATTTCTAGATTACAAATTGTGCTTAGTAACAGTACCGTTTTCTTACGAGAACCATTTTTATGTAATAAATTTTTTCCTTACACAAGCTTTCACATACTGTGTCATTCTGATTGGACTGCGTGAAGTGGCAAATCCTAAGGCAAACCGCAAAAGTAAAATCGGTGAAGAAGATGAGATTAAAGCTTTGGGCTCAGTGTGTTTAAGTGGATATCTAGGTCAGTGGGGCAAATTTTGTAAGCAGCTGGGTATTCCCTCTTCAAGCACAGCTCAGGGAGGAGGGGTAACGCTGAAGATGAACCGGAGATGATATGACAGATTGGGGGCAGTGGAGTTTCTCTTGTTGGAGCTGGTTTCTCTAGGCTATTGAATATTTAGATGTGGAGGAGGGATCTGTTCCTCACCACAGAGAGTGTGGCATGGATTTACAAATGCATCATTCATTGCACTAGAAAAGATGCTTTACTTTGCATCCTATATCTACCAAAAACAAGACTTTTTGGTGAATCTAACAAAAATATGTGCCAAGACCAAAAGAAAAAAATATGAAAATATATTTTGAAGAAAAAAAAACCGAGTCATTTTAGGATATTTTTGTATTATTGTATATTTATAATTTTTTTGTATTATGATATTATCACGTAGTACACTTAGATCGAGAGGAGGGATCTGTCCCTAGTCAGAGACAGTGTGGTATGCATTTACAAATGTATCTGGGAAATAAGGTATATTTGACATACACACGTTTTCGAGTGAATCTCACAAAAATATGTACGGATCATCATAAAATCAAAAGAAAAAAAAAAAGAGTCCTGTAAGAATTTTCTGTTATGATATTATTGCTGTGACAATTTTTTGACAAATTCTCATCAAAAGTCCCGGGCACGTTTGGTGCGATTCATCCTTCTACTTGGGTAGCTTGTGTGTCATCCGGTTATTTTAGTAAGTATTAATATTCATATAATCAGTTGACAGAGTATATATGGAATACATGTCCAAAGCAGGACTATTTGAAATATGTAAATGATGGATGCTTGCAATAACATGAAGCTCATTGGAATGCCTTAAAGCCACGTAACTTTATAAGAATCAAGTATTTCATTGTGTAAATTAGGTATGATGAACTGCTTTTTCTATTAGAAAGCTGATGTGATCCAAAAAACACAGAGAAGAAAAAAGTACAGCACTCTCCAAACTAATATTAATATTAATGGCTCAGACTATTGATTGATTATTTGTTTGCGTCTTGGTTGTAAATGTTTTTGATAAAAGCCGTTCTAGTCTCCCTGTCTGTTCTGTCCTTGGCTGTACAAGATTTGACACTTCTACCCAAATTTATATACAAGTAAAACTACATTTTACCACAGGTTTCTTACAATTAGTTGGTATATTGGTTTTCTGCATCTCATATATGTATACAGCTTGGCTATGTTGTTACTTAGATGTATATCGCTTATTCTACAAACGAAAGGCATTACAAGTTCAAGTACAGTATATCTCTATTTACAAAAGCTCAAAGGCAGCTGGCCGTGTTAGACAGTCTTTGAGTGACCGTTTGGTTCTATTATATGTACAGTCCAGTTCTGGAGGGCGGGACTTATCACTAATTTTAAAACAGTCCTCTAATGAGAGTTTACTCATTCATTAATAACAGAACTCTTCTGGCCAACCAGTGCAGAGAGAAACAAATGCAAACCACTCGTTTGATCTTGCTCTAAATAAAAATGTGGCCAAAAAGAACAAGTTAATAGTAATTCTGAGGTAAAAATAATAATAAAAAGAGGAAGTTATCTTTTTTTTCAACCTTCTTTTTATCATAGCATGAAATTTTCCCTGGAATTGTCTTTTATCCCTTGTATTTTTTTTGTCATTTTTTTTCCCACAGAGAGGGCAGGAAATGATGAGAACAACGGAATGGAATGGGAAAATCACCTGAGCCAGACTCGACTCACATCATCCGCAACCAGGCTCAACACGTCAAACCACTAGGCCACAGCTCAGCTGCATTTCTAGAACTCTCAAAGGCTCAAAAAATCAATTCAGAAACGAAATAGCACTCCTGAACTTCCTTCCTGGAATGAGCATCTAGCCCTCACCAGCGCACCACGGGCCTGCTGCTGCTGCTACATGGTCCCGGGGTTCTCGCCAGAGTTGGTGGAGGAAGCTGCAGCGTTGCTCGCGTTGTTTGAAAAGATCTTCTCTGTGGGGGTCACGGCAGGGCTTCCCACCCCAGAGGAGCTTGAGCTGCTGGAGCGGTGCTGCGTGGGCGGGGGTCGCATGGGTCTCATAGGTGGAGGTCTGAGCTGGGCTCCGGCCAATCTGGCGGACAGCGCCGGTTTAAAGGTGGTCATCATCTCCGTAGTGGAGCTGCTGCTGCGTCTCAGGGCCGCGTCCGGGTCTCGGATCATGATGGTGTGTAAGGGGCTCGCTGGCTCTGAGCTCACAGGGTTCTTGAGCGGTTCTAACGTATCCAGAACAACGTCGGGAGCTTGTTTGGCTGTGTTTTGGCGTTCCAATTCACGGAGCTCATGAAGTGCGGTGTTCATTGTCTTCTCAATATCCTGTAACAAAAAATATTGTTGACTTTTTACAGTTTTTTGTTTTAGATTTTTACTTTTGATGAAAATATTCTTAAAAAATATGGACTAAGCTTAGATATTTTTTTTTTAAAGTGGCATTGAATTGTACTTAATAAAGACAACATTTAATATTAAACCAAATGTTCAAGCATTTTATTCACAACCTAGTGTAGGTTTTATGTAAACAGTATGCTTTAATAATTTTTTTAACAACAATTTTGGCAAAATATCAACTAAATTTCAATATTTTTTATTTCAGTCTAAAATAGCATTGAATTGTAGTCAAACAAAAATAATATTTGAAATTAAAAAAGCATTTTAATCATAATCCGTTTGAATGATGAAATATTGACTGAATTGAGAAATTTTTCATTTTACTCTAAAATGCCAATAAATTTAATTTGACGAAAACAACATTTAAAAATAGATTAAATGTTCATGCATTTTTTTCATAATATCATTTAAGTTTTTTGTCAACAGTATGTTTTAATTAAAATCATTTATAATTATCACAATGAAGATTTTTCTTGTTGTTATGAAACCCCATTTTTTGTTTAGTTTTGATGATGAGATAAACTGAACAAATGTTATATATTCATGAAAAATGCTGTTTTTTTAGTCATTATGCTGAAAATAACTCTCGGTACTTCATTAACTGGACTCATTTGTCTTAAGTATTGCTAATATAACAAGGTTAAGCATTAGGGATGTGTTTAAACCCTCTAGCACCACTAATAATGATGATGTGAGAAAATGATCGATAACTTCAATTTGTCGGTTTCTGCACAAAGAGTATTTACGGAGCTATATGGCCTTAGAAATCTCTCATCTTTCCTGGAAATTCATCTTACTTTCTTCGGAAGCGGTCTAGTATATCACAGAGGCAGATTATGTTTGATATACACACAGTGTCGCTGCCGTCCTGATAGACTATAAACTCCCTGCTTTCCCGGTCTCTTTCAAGACTGTCCTCTGTCTCGCAGCTGAGCATGCCATAAAAATTTAATGTTCAGAAGATAAAAGGCTCATGAAGACACACGCTCACACACACACACACACAAAAGTACCTTGGAAGGTCTTATTACTGAGCAGATGTCATCAATAACGTAGCACCCCCCCAAACACATTTACACACATTTCCCAAACTGCACATCAAGCAGTAACGTTAATGAGATCATGCAGGCTGCGCTAATAATGCATTATCAATATACAAAACAACACATTTCTGTCCAACAATATCAATCATACCTCCATTTTGATGTCTGTATTCACATAAGCCATTTTCTTTTCATTAGGTGAGTGTAGACACAAAGGGGCCATTTCAAAAGATCATTAACTGTTCCGTGTGTCACAGACTTCATTATTTAACAGTGCGCAAATGAAACACATGGATCAGTGGCAGCCTATCCCGTTCATGCTGCTATCTGCTTTAGTGCCAGCTCTTTGTTTCTGCTGGACTAAATCTTGCCAGCTTCTTCAGCCTCACAGAATTCTAGGCTAATTGAAAGGCTCAAGAGAAAAACCAAAACGCTTTCATGACTACAACTTAAAAGACATTTTGAATCCTTCTGAGCTTTGATTTATAAGGGTACAAAATATAAGAAGATTTATAGTACACTTACCAAGAATATTTGAATGTTTGATCTCAGCAATAGCAAACTGTTTAAAATAATTATATATCTAAATCACAGTGATTTAATCAGATTACGATAATTAATCAAAATATATTTTACGGCTTTTTATAATAATTAGTGGTGCTTGCTTACTATTTTTCTGCCCAAAACTTTGCGGTGTAAGCCTTGACTTGTATGATGGCTCAAGTAGTGCAATTGAGGAGAGGTGCTATTACTTTTGTATCAGTTTTTTCTCTCAGTTTAGTTTTCATAATGTTTTCACATAATTAAAAAAAAGAAAAGAAAAGTTATTTGTTTTTAAATACCTTAATTGTATCTACAATTTATCTACTATTTTTTCATTTGAAACTTATTAAATAAATAAATAAAAATGGCACTTATTGGATAATTTTATTATACAATGACGTTCATAAATTTTAAAACAAATACAGTAAAAATGTAATATTGTGAAATATTATTACAATTTAAAATTACTTTTTTCTATACAAATATAATTGAAAATGTAATTATTCCTATGATGTAAAAGCTGAATTGTCAGCAGTCATTTCTCCAGGTTACAGTGTTATTTTTCTAATATAATATATTTCTAATAAACATGTCCAATTAATATCAGTGTTGAAAACGGTTGAAGCATCTAGTTCGGTAGTTGAAAACTATTAGTAGTTCCCAAAAATATGAAGCAGCACAACTGTTTTCAACATTGATAATAAGAAGAAATGTTTCTTGAGCAGCAAATCAGCATATCAGAATGATTTCTGAAGGATCATGTGACACTGAAGAGTGGAGTAATGACGCTTAAAATTCAGCTTTGCCATTTCAGGAATAAATTAGATATATTCAGATAGAAACATTTATTTTAAATTGTAATAATATTTCACAATATTACTATTTTTACTGTACTTTGATCAAATAAATACAGTCTCGGTGAGTATAACAGATTTCTTTCAAAAATATTAAAAAAATCTTTATGGTTTCAAACTTTTGACCTCCAGTGTATACACACACACACACACACACCTCTGCTAAAGCCTCAGCCTCCAAGGACTTGTGGTCTCCTAGGCTGCTATGTCTTGTTGCTCCTGGCAAAGGCCTGAGCGGGTGACCCTCAGGATAGACCTTTCTCTCAGGGTAGTTAATGCTGCCTGCACTGCCAAAGGTTCCCAAACGTCTCTTCTCAGGACTCTCTATGTGGCCTCTACTGACCGCCACCTTGTGGGGGCTGCTGGCGTAGGCGGTGGCCCGCGGCGGTGTGTCTCGGGGAGGACTGTGAGAGTCGGTGCCACTGCGGCGTCGAGGAATGGCAGACCCATCCGAACGCAACCTAACCCTGCATAAACACACAACGAGATGGTAAAAATCTTAAATGCAGTCCGTCAATGCTGTTTTTGATTCAAAGCAGACTGCAAATAGAGTCAAAAATGTTTTGTTAATTATTTGTGCCACAAACAAGATGAATAAGTAAACAAGCTGCGAGGAGAAACAGGACAAGATTAAACACTTTAATTCAGATCCTTATTTTTTTCCTGAGGATGAAAATATGTGGAATAACTACAAGCAGAATTCTGCATAATCAGCCACTGACCGGCCCATGACCCCGCCGAAGTTGTAATCAGGCGAAGGTTCACACGGGGACTGCAGATCGTTTTTGGATGAGGCTTTATCGTCCAGTAAAGGTCCACTGCTGGCCTCGCTGTCAGCCTTCTGACTCAGACTATCAGAGAACGCATCATCCCTAAAGAGATAGAGACAAAAATCCTTCCGGTTACTCTGATGGTCCGTGAAGGATTCCAAGTGGTGCAATTTGATTGGCTGATTTAAACAAAAAATAGACCAAAATAATTAAAAACTATTATTTAAAAGAATAATAAAAACACTTAATTAACAGAGAGAACAGAAATAGGCAAAATTGTGGATTATTTTTAAGTTATTTCAAAATGGTAGGTAATTGTTTTGAGGCATTTGGTGGTGTGTCTTTAATTAAAACATACTAGTTTGTCTTACAGTAAAAACAGTAATATTGTGAAATATATTACAATTGAGAATAACTGTAATTTACAATTGAATGAAATGTATTTAAAATAAAAATAAATTAAAATTTAATGAAAAAGTGTTTGGTAATCTGAAGTTGTTGAACGTCACATTCATGTGAAAAAAAGTCTCAGAAAAAGTCTACAGCCCAAATGTTTCATTATGCAATCTTTCAGCAATTCATTTTTCTGAGTGCCTTTTGAACACACTAAATGGACTGAAGGACATGCTTGTTGGACCCTTAATTTCAAAACCATTGCCATTAAAATGAAGCTGATCTTCTCTAACAGCTTTCTTCTGGTATGGTCTTCCACTAGATGTTTGAACATGGATTCAGAAATTTGCTCCTATTCAAACATGCAGTTTGGGGTTGAATTTACAGCACAGATAACTTCTGTGATACAAGATTTTGGTCATTCTGCCCATCCTCTTTTCATTTTAGCAACCTCAATTTTCCTTATTTGCTGCTGTCAAATTTTGCAATATTAGGAACGGAGCTTGGACCGACACTTTTAATAATCTCATTCATCAAACTGACACCGGTTAGACCATACAAAGAGATAATGAGCATGTCATCATTTGAGTAATTACTGAAACAGCGGTAGGACAGTTAATATCAGCTGATGACATAAATATGATCAACTCAAGGACGCTGCAATTAACTTTTTTCACTTTCATGTCATCTCAAGACCTCATAAAGCAGTAACAGAGGAGCAGAAAGCCCCTGAACACTTGATAGGCTTATATTTCAAGTTACTTTCAACTCACTTTAACCTCAGTGAAGTACGTCATGTCCCATTGCACCCAACAAGCTTTGACATAAATGCATGCCTAGCACATTACGGCACAACTAATGCTTGGTGCTTCAGAAACACAATTAGACTTATAGTGTAAGAAAGGTTCCCTGCCAAAGACATAAGGGCATTCTTTAACTGCCACTCAGTGCTGTTAAATTTTAATTAAAGTCTAAAGTGTTAATGGAGGGAACTATTTGATTCTCACTTGAGCTATTAAGGTATGAACTCAGGCCAGATGGCCTGGTTGATTAGTCATATATTACCCAGAGGGCAACACTTTCACAAGGCAACATGTATTGAACTGTCCTGTAACTAGTTCCAGGGACATAAAAATAAACATATTTTGAAAAAAACTATGCAATTTTTAATTTAGATACTTACAAGTCTTGTACTACTATATACTGGTGAGGTATGAGTCCGTCAACCCCGTTGTGTCGGCCCTCCCACCAGTCCTCAGATGCACGATGATACAGCAAAAGGGATGCACCTTTTTTGAAGGACAGCTCTCGAGGAGTCCGACCCATGTAATCAAACTTTGCAATAGCTTCGATCTGCTCAACCTCTGTGTATGAGAGAGAGAGAGAGAGAGAGAGAGAGAGGAACAGGGAAAGTAGCACTCATTAACATGTTTGCACAGAGAATTATGTCAACAAATTTTCAGAGAGCTTCAAAGCACTACACCAGACTCAAAATCTGTCATGCTCCCAGCTGGTTCTCAGCAAAAACACACACACTCACACTGTGTCTTGGCCAGGCGCGATATGACAAGTTTCCAGCGACAAGCAATTTGTCTGTCCAAACTAAACGCAAAACTGCTGCATGACTAGGGATGTGCAACAGTGATCGAGTACTCGAGTTAATCATGTGTTCATGTTTTCATAGACAGGTTTTCATGTCATATTTTTATTTTTAACATTCATTTTCATAACAATCTTCAGATTTTTTCATTATATCCATTACGGCCATGCCCCGCCCCCCGCACAAGCCCCGCCCCCGATTACTCGATTAATCGTTTTTGAAACCTATCGATGATCGAAGTGAGAAATTTCCCAAAATGCCCATCCCTATGAATGACACGGACCGTATTAGAAGTTTTACATATACAGTTATGTGAGGTAAGATTTTGGAGCAATTATATTTCATAGTGGGTGAACTGGACTGCAGAAATAGAAAAGTCTATTCCATCGGTGATTCATATATAGAAGTCTAAGTCCATCGATTGTCTTAATTCTCTGAAAACAATAAAGCAAAGCAAAAGCAAAAACAAAACAAAAAAACAATGCAAAATGCCATTTTACTACACAAAAGTCCATAGATGAATTGTCGTAATTCACAAAAAACAAAACAAAAGCAAGCCAAATAAAAACAAAACAAAAGCAAGTAAAACAAATGCAAAGCATATAAAATTTTTTAAAAGATTTAGTTTTGAAGGAAGCGCATCAAAACAAAACAGCAAAAACCAAAACTTAGTCATTGAACAAAAACAAAAGCAAGCAAAACAAATGCTAAGCACATCAAAATAAAATAAAACAAAACAAAATAAAATAAAACAACAAAAAACAACTTAGTTTTGAATGAAGCACATCAAAACAAAACAGCAAAAAACAAAACTTAGTCATTGGACAAAAAGGAACATGGATCTCCGCAATGCAATATTTCAGACTTGCTTCTATATTGAAGAAACACACTGCATTCAGTATGATCAAGTGTACTTACACCGTTCATTTATTTTTAGGGCAGAATGACAGATGTGACTGAACAGTCAGCAACAACAAAAAATACTGTTCAACAACATAGCTTAGAAAAACAGGCTTGTGCACAACAAAAGCTTGAATGCGCATTTATTTGTCAAATAGGTTCTGTATTCAGTATCATACAGACTCACATTTATCACAAAAGGTCTCAAACATCAGCATATGATCTCATCTTTTACCCCATCAGGACCACAAAGAAACAGGCACATTTCTAATATAGATGGGCTGCTAAAAATGCAAAGTGGACTTTATCTAAATCCGATCAAATCTGCCACCCAGCTTCCATTTAACGTGACCACTGCCATCGCATGACCACAAATCAGTTCACGCTTCACCCCCCCAGACGCTGCCAGGGGCAAACAGACAGTGGGGTCATTCAGGGTTAAGGAGATATACAGAGCAAATCAGCGCCTGGCAGGAAATCTCCAAGTCGACTAGAAGAAACCAATCAGTTTCATTAGGGTCTCCACCCAGGGGTGAAATTAAATACAGGCATGGCACAGAAGTGGAAGGAAAGAGGAAGAATGGAAATGGAGAGAGGGAGAAAATCAGCCTTTGCAATTCTGTATTCGTCTGATTGTTTCCATTGTGACTGCACCTGATTGGCTGGATTGAAGGCTCAAAATCTGATTGCGATTTCTCAGCATGCGCCGGGGGTAATAGGGGAAGTTGCAATAGCGCTGTTTTGGAGCTAAAGCATGTGACTTCAAACAGGCCTGAAGTCATGCATAAGGCAGGCTGTGGCTGATGAGCTCCTGAGGGAAGGCTGATTCCAGATCAGAGCACCAGACAGATCAAAACAGAATGTCAGTGCGGATCACAAACATACATAAGCATACACAGATTTAGCCAGTAACATACTGTTTAAAGCAGTTTATAGAGCTACCTCTAAAAACATGATTACTTTGAATGTTTTATGTTACGGCTCAACAACAAAAAATTACCAATAAAATGAATTTTTACTATTTTGGAATGGAATACTACCATACTGCTTTTTGGTTAGCATACACATAATAGCCTACAGCTTAATACTTATAAACAAGTTATGCATTATGTAATATGTGGCATTGTTGTCGCATGACCTTATTAAAGTCCACTCACAGTCACAGTCACAAATTCTGTCATAATTTACTCACCCTCATATCTTTCTAAACCTGTATGCATTTCTTCATTCTGCACTGCAAAAAAAAATTTCTGTAGAATGTTTGGGTTCCCACTGACTTCCTTTGTATGGACAAAAAATATAATGGAAGTTAAGAGGAACTGAAACGATTTGGTTACCAACATTCTTCAAAATATCTTATTTCATATTCCACAGATGAAAGCAAGTCATACAGTTTTGGAATGACATGAGGGTGAGTAAATTATCACAAATTATTTTTGGGTGAACTATCCCTTTAATTTTGTCACATGGACTCACATGCATGTTTAATTTCATGAGTGGCATGGAATTATGTATATATTATTATGCATATATATATATACGTGTGTTATCTACTACAAATTTTAGTAGCATGTTTAGAACTTATATACAGCACATATTACATACAGCAGAAATATTAAAAGTATAGCAGTATGCATTTCCAAACATTATACATAATCTCCACAATAAATAACGTTTTTCTCTCTATTTTTGTCTTTGTAAAGGTCTGAAATGATAGCCTCTCTGCTGCCCCCACCAGCTTTGGAGCACCATTGACATTTATGTGACGGTATCACAGGCTGACTAAGTGCAACATAATGTTGTCTGGAAAATGTCAGGCCTAGAGAAATTATCCTGAAGTATGCATTTACAATGCAAGACAAGGCTGGTCATACAAACTCAACATGGTGGCCTTCATGAGGGGGCAACCTGCTGAATGAACAGCCTTTTAAAATCCACCTCATTCAATGCTCCTGTGAATGTGCGAGACTTCTGATTCTATAGGTAAAATAACTAGAAGAAGAATAAAATGCGGTAAATGGTAAAATGTTTTGTGCTACAAACCAGTGTGTTTATGATTAGGATAATAGAGTATAATAAATTGAAATAATAAGATAACAAAAACCAGTTTGCAATATCAAATAGCATAAAAGGCTTTATCTAAAATGAATATAAGTAGCTAACACGAGAAACATTGAACATTCAAGCTAAAAACTGTAGCAGCCGCTCTTAATTTAAAAATAAGGAATAGCTTGCTACAGAAGGTCTGAATGTTTACCATTTTAAAGATTTGCAAAAAGTACTGCAGCATTCATTCTGAGTACATTTTATATGGAAAAATAACGAGTGCACTTTTCAACAGAAAAACAAACTATATTCTATTTTAGTGTTAAAAAGGATCCACTCTTAACCCATTAGTTGAGAGCAGAACCATTTTAGTGAAACTGAAAAAAAACAAACTTCTTGATTGAGCAGTGAGCTGTATGCGAGAGATGGTATCAGCGATGTGGCTGGTGTTTGGAGTTAGCGAGCGAGAGCAGCTCCATCAATCAGTAAATGAAGGGAGCGAGCACAGGAAGCCCCGTGAGACCTGTTTACTCCCCTGAACAAAGAGCATGTAAGAGAGAGGGAGAGAAGAAAACAAAGTGATAAAAGGCAAAGGAGGAGGCAATTAAGCAAAGAAAACCAAGGCTGGAAGAGAGAGATGAAGCACAAAGATTGCTGAAACTGGGCCGAAAGAGATATTTCCGTCTGTGTCTTCATTTAACATAGCAATGGAAACATTGCTAGACTATCATTTACATGTGAGAAATGAAGAGGGTGAAGGGGGAGAGAGGAAGGGAGTGAAGAAAAAGCAGAGAGAACAACATTTTCAAGACCTGGAACCTCATATAACAGCTTATGAATCTGTGCTGCCAGGTTTCAATTTGAGATCATCTTTCTTATCTCCTCATGGTTTACCAGCCAATAAGGATGCACACTGCTGAAAAGGCACTACTCTGATTGGCTGAGCTAAATGTCAATTATAACATCCACCAAACACAACCTGGTGTGTATGAAATTGTTTATATAAAAAAAATATACAAATCTTCTTAAAGAACTAAATACAATTCACCTAAATTATTAAAAACGTATATATACATAATTTTTTTTTATATGAATTGTTTTCAGAGAATATATCATATATTAAGTTTATTTTCTTACCCCACTATATTTTTTTAAATGCTAAAAATACAAGAAATTATTCGCCACTGGGGTAAGAACAATAAACGTATTGTAATTATTGTAATATCTAACACATTTTGCTTTTCATTTAAATGCATTTTGCTTTAAAGATGGTTAGATATTTTCTGGAAAACACAACAAATACTGAAAGATTTTTTGCAGCACAGTCAAAGTATCACATTGGCTGTGGTTGTATGAATAATATTTTTTTGTGGAAACTGTTTAGATCAAACTGAATATGACCCAGATGTCATATACCCATCCATGTGCACACACACATATATACACACACACACACACACACACAAGCCAGAAAGGTCAGCCAGAGCACAACACAGCAATGCTAATCAACACATCATCTTCAAAATACACAAGGCAAGCAATTTTTCTGTTTTTTAAGAAGCAATATGTGGTCATTTTGATTCCTTTCAACCCCAAAGGCTAGCATAAACATCTGATTGTATTTCTATTGGTTAAGTAAACGAAAAACCTCAAATGCTGATTTTTGCTTCTGGTTATTTGTGGTCTACTTTACAATACAATACAGAGCATGCAAAAAGCACTGAATGAATGCATAAATGCCTGTACCATCATCGCTCGTGTGTGGTTCGGTGCAGTTGTCCACTTCATCAATGGTGCCTGGTTCACTGTGAGGACTGTCACTGCGAATATGCACACATAAACAAACACAAAGAGGCAGAGATGTTTAAAAGCACAGTAAACACAATAACTGTACACATGATAATGCCAGCATTGGAAAAAACATGGCAATTACAGTTCTGCAATACCACGCAAACAGTAATCAATGCAGTATTAGAGACTCATGAAACAGCAAACTTTGTGGATTAAAAGTCATCAAGTTGTGGAGTCATTAGGCTTGATGTAAGAGTAAAAACAGAGTAACAAACAGCATTATGAGGCTTATTGCTTTTAAAACAGCATGTTCAATAAATACACTATCATTCAGAAGTCTGAGGTCAGTAAGTTTTTTTTTAAGAGAATAATACTTTTATTTAGCAAGGATGCATTGATTCTATTTTCATCTTAAATAAATACCAGAGGTGGGACCAAGTCATTGTTTTGCAAGTCACAAGTAAGTCTCGAGTCTTTGCATTCAAGTCTCGAGTCAAGTCCCGAGTCAAGACAGACAAGTCCCAAGTCAAGTCCCGAGTCAAGACAGACAAGTCCCAAGTCAAGTCCCGAGTCAAGACAGACAAGTCCCAAGTCAAGTCCCGAGTCAAGACAGACAAGTCCCAAGTCAAGTCCCGAGTCAAGACAGACAAGTCC